CCCGAACTTCCCTCTGCCCTGTATCTTGTTCTCTCATTGGCTGTAGGTCATCGCCGATGTGTTTTTCAGTCAGAACTCATTTCACACAGCGTGATTGTGAATCGCCGACAGCTCCAGATATTTAGCATGCCAAATATTTCACGGGCGTCGGCGACGCGTCGGCGATTCCCTCAGATCGCGTCTTTGATAATTCACACTGCGTGATTGTCACTCGCGTGAACGAGCACCGATTTGCTTCCGATTTCGGGCATTTGTCGGCGATTTCGCAAAACCTGTCGGCGAGTGAAAAATCGGGTTAAACTCGTGCAGTGTGAACTCGGCATTAGTGGTAGAGCATTGCGTTAGCAGCGCAAAGGTCGTGGGTTCAATTCCCAGGAAATACACATACTGATAAAAAATGTACAGCCTGAATGCACTGTAAGTCGCTTTGGATAAAAGCGTCTGCTAAATGCATGAATTTATTTATTTACCTCATGCAAACACAGCCTGTTTAATATTAGGTGAGGATTTCTTTACAGAAGCTCCTGGTTTCAGATCTGTTTATTTGGGATTTGAGAGGCGAGCTCCTGGTCATGCATCATCTCACCTTGTTTACCCAAGGAGGCATTTTGAGCCTATACTTCATCCGTACCCAGACAGCTGTGTGGCACGTTCCACTACTCTGCTCCCTCTGAGCCGTTCCCAACTTAGCTGCCTCACAGCACTTTTTTTTAAGATGTCATCTTAGTAGAAAGAAAGTAAGAGCAAGGTTATTAAAGTTTTGCATTTTAGCATTTGTTTTTATTTTCATAAAATTATAAAATGAATATATTTTTATATTCCAGTTTAGTTTTAGTAAGTTTCAGCCAGTGTTATTGTGAACTAAAACTAATCTATGTTTGGTAATTTTGGTAATTGAAATAAAGCTGATTTTTTTTTTTATAAATACAACATTACATTAACAACTTTAATCAACTTATATTAAAAATATTGACTTGGCAACTAACTGACAAATACAAATAAATTAAATCTAAATAGAAATATAAAAAATTATTAAAACAAATTTAAAATAAAACTGAAATTATGAAAATGAAATTAAATACTATTATAGTATATAAATGATACTAAAATAACACTGGTTTCTGCAATAATTTTGATAGTTACAGTTGAGAGTACAATTTTTTTATTTCTTAAATATATGTATTTTTTTTATAGATTTTATTTTCAGTGTTAATTCTCATAGTTAAGAATAAAATCATTTGAGGAATATTGATTTTAATTTTAAATACATTTAACATAAGCACGATCTTTAAAGAAGCCACATCTGCATTTACACAGCAATCACAATCGGGGTAAACAATGTATAAAGCCACATATTGATTCTTATGCATGACAGAGATGCATAACATTTTTGTTGATTTTTGTCAATTTAACAAAAACAAGATGTGTAAAAAACAACAACAACAGAATGATATAGTCATGAAACATGCTGATAAAAGTTCACAATGATGAGGAAGAATGAAAAACATGATCTTTAATCACAAAACTCACATATATTCACACATAACCATAACACATGCTATACATCGACTAAGACGGACCACCGAGTGCAGAAAACTCAGAACTTGAGTAGACAGATCAGACCAAGGGAACTAATGAAATAATTAACAAACACAAGGTGAACTGAATACAACAATCAAACTAGAAACTAGGTTATACAATGGGGCAAACATGACAGAACCAAAAAAACACTGAAAACAGCATAAACATTACAGATATGAGATGAAATGATATGGCCTTTTATTTACTTATTTATTTACTCATTCATTATTTTATTTCAGTTTTTCTACTACTGTTTTTAGTTTAGTTTTGTTTTTGTTTTTCATTTACTGTGCATGACTTACTTTTATAAAGTTTATAACGTGACAGACCACGTGAAAGCAGACTCTTTTGAATATCTCTGTATTGTTTAATGTATGGCGGTAATCATTCTGCAATTAAAGGGGAGCAGAGATGGAACTTGGCAGAGCAACTGCACATCGACCCATGCCCACTTTCTCCTCTTCATTTGCATGCTTTCATGTGTGAATGCTTCACAGGGCCACAGATTAAATATTCATTCTGTAAAACCCTGGGTTATGTAACCATAGACATGCAGTTTCAGCAAGACAACAAAACGAAACTAAAATAAATACAACAAAAATACAATCCCATTTCAATTTTAGTAACTATGGCCTTAACTGGCGACAGAGAGACGAGGGATAAGACTGAACAACACATCAAAAAACATGGGTAATTCTATATTTTCCCACAATGCATTGTAGTCGAGCTCTGAGATATGTACTGTGTTTTCCCTGTGGGAATGCCTGCATTTTCATATCTACCACAGATGCAGAGAGATTTGTCTATGGCATGGATCGTCATGGTAACCAGCTGCATTGGCATCTTTGTTTGCCTACAGTATGTCAGATTCTGTCACTTAACCTCTTTACTTCAATCCGACTTGACCTGCGATAAAGCGGTTGATTGCAATATTATCTCACACAACAATAGCAGGGCACAGCATACCAGATGCAATTGATTTGACTCCATTACAAGGAAACCACTAGTACAAGTGAGTCCTGATATTTCTGTCTCTCATAGGCACTTGTGCTGATCAGCAGCTCCATCCAAGATTGTCCATTGAAGATTTTCATTACCTGAATGATAAGAAAGAGGTCTGTAAGGTTGTCAATACAGCATGTCGATTGTGATTAATTCTAAAAGAGAAATGACTGCATTAATAAAAATCATCGAGTTAAAACATATAGATGGAGCTCAGAAAAATGACACACAAGAAAAGGGTCTTGAGACACATTTTCAAAGTTCAACTACCGTTATTTTGAATAGAAAGTTTAAAAGAACAGCATTCATGAAAATCTTTAGTAATATTTTGAAATGATATATAACATATATTTTCTTGAGCACCAACTCAATATTTCACAATATTACTGATTTTACTGTATTTTTGATCAAATAAATGCAGTCTTGGTGAGCATAAGAGAGGACTTTTGAAAAACATTACAAATTCTTACTGACCCCAAACCTTTAATAAACAAAACATCTCTGAATTATCTTCATTTGGGGCCCTTTATTTTCCCTCATATTAATATATGCAATTACTTATGATTACTTAAATTAATTAACTGCATATCACGTAGTTAATTTGATTAAAATGTTAAATTGATTGTCGGCACTATTTCCTGACAGCCTTTGATTGAAAAGGTAGATTACTATGGATATCATATTGATTGACACATGTTTGTAAGTATCCTATAATACTGCTAGATTTTCATTCTCTGCTGTCTCAACTTAATAGGGTTACATAAAGCTGAACATATTTAATTTAGTTATTTATGAGGTAATTTTAAACCTTGAAGCCTTTCTGTTGTAAAACAGTGACAGCTGCAATCTCACAAACATTCTGGATGTTTGATAGCTCTGGATAAACGAGACGGCATTTTCTTTACACAAATAACAAAAGGAATATGTCAGATTAATGTAGAAGCCATAATTTCAGCCCACATGGTGTCATTATTGGACATGCTCGGAGGGTAAACATTTGTGAGCATTTTCAATAATTCCCGACAGAACACAAGATTATGGCTTTTACAGAAAGCCAAGCCCAAACACACAGAAGCTGGATCCTCTTGAAAGAAGATATGAAAAGTGTTTCTCCATGCCTATTTCCTGTGTTAATCCTCATTAAGAGCCCACGTTGAACACACAAGCATAAAATGCCTTCAGGAGGTAATGACATTGTACATGCATACAAGCATACAAACAAACAAACAAACAAAAATGACAAAATTTGTATTTTTTCGGTGAACTATCCCTTTAATCTGAGTACAAAAACTTTTATCCTTATACGCTGAATGTCAGGTAAATAAATAACAGGTCCATCCATATTTCATAGGTCCTCCTGCAGCGCAATCTAGATTCTTCTCCACTGCCCGTGCAGCTTTGACTGGGCCGTACACAGGGGCATGTGGTGTGGCTAACTCAGGGATACGGATTGACACAGGGCCTAATCAGCGCATCAAGGGAGGAGGACACTGTACAGTTCACGTAATGACCGCATGAATTATGTATGGGCCACAGCAGGGGAGGAGATGGAGGAAGTGTGGGTGAGGTGAGGGAGATACAGAAACGGTAACTGATTAATATGAGTTTTCCTTCCACTCTACCTTTTTTTACTTCTGTGAGGAGCAGAAGCTCTTTTGATCATTTTATTCATCCCAAAGTGAAAGAAGGGCCCAGCGCCAGCGGACTAGAGTCTCTTAATAAGACTCTCATTGTTGTATTTCCTGAGCGGGCACCTCGAACAACCCACATGAAAGGCTATGATGAACTTGAAAGTGGTTTAAGAAAATATGAGGATTTTTTAAGAAAAATAATTTAAATAATAAACTTTTTGACATGTAATTACACAGCTGTGCATCTTGAAAAAAATATTTTGATTTGCAAACAAGGCCTTAAATTACATCATCATAATCTAATCATTCTGATTTCTATAATATCAACTAAAATTTGTCTATATATATATAAAAAATAGTATTCAACATGTATAATTTAACTTACAATCTGCAAAGGAGTGGAAAAAAATATGTTCAAATACTAACTTTAATGTCAAAGAACTTTACATAGACACAAGCTTATAAAAAAATAAATATATATATTTTTTTTCATAAAATCTGTAGTAAAGCACAGATGTAGTAGAAACATCTGGGCCATGTTTGCATTTTCTTCTATCACTGGCCAAAATTCTAACCTTTAAGAATTAGGCATAAAATAATGTCTTCTGAATCATTCATACACATGAGATACGGCTGAGAATTGAACTAGCAGATGTAGCCTGGCTCAGAGGAAGATAGGAATTGTGCAGTTTTTATGGTGATTGAGGAATAATGCAAGACTTCTTCACCTTACAAACAGTTGTCAAAGGAAAAAGTACTATAAAATCATATTTTGTAAGAAAGTCTGATGTGTCTATTTTTGACACTATTTTTGGAACCAGCACACCAAAATTGGTGAGAAACAAGTACTGGATTTCATTCAGCAAATATGATGCAGAGTGGTGGAATGTATCCTATATCAAGCATAGCGTTAGTTCTGGCAGGTCACGTTAGTCAGGCTCGCATCAGCTGACTCTCAGCTGATCCCCATCCACCTATGGGAATACGACACCTATCTAAGTATTCATATAAAAGGTCCCTCAGTATTATCAGCAGTTTTCGCATTGCTCAATAGCTAATTACCCTCCTCCATCCCCAGCTCCTCCTCTGTCAGTCGGGATTCAGCCTTCTGATTCTCCTTTGAATCAGCTAATTCTAAAATGTGTACATAAAAT